TGATTTATATTCTATCATACGATTAATTTACTTTGTTTTGCAGATTGTGGAGAATTTGGATTAAAGAAAGAATATAAGAAGAAATGGAAGGAAAAGAAAGAAGAAAGAAAGAAATTGAGAAGAAAAACAGAAAGTACAGATTTTGTGCGCGTGACGCTCGTCACAGCTTTCTCACGCTCGTCACGAGCATCACGGTCGTCACAAGACCATCACGGTCGTTGCGTTCAACACGACCGTCACAAGACCATGACGACCGTCACGAGCCAAATATCAGAATAAAACAGAAGTCTGCACGACCCTCAACTAAATTTATTGTGTGGGTGGGTGTGAGCGCGCGCGCGTGTGTCTGTGTGTGTCTGTGTGTGCACGCGTGTGTTTTTGTGCACGCGAGTGCGTATGCATGGGCATGCGCGCGAGAGTGCGTGCGTGTGTGCGTGTGTTTGTGTATATGCGCACGTGTGTGTGTGCGCACGCGAGTGTGCGGACGTGTGCGTGTGTGTACGTGCAGCGTGCGTGAATACGTGCATGCGTGCGTGTGTGTGCGTGTGTGTGTTTGCACGCACGTGTGTGTGTGTGTCTCTGTATGTGTGTGCACGTGTGTACGTGTGTGTGTGTGTCTGCGCACGTGTGTGTGTGTGTGTGCGTGCGTACTTGCGTGCATATGTGTGTGTGTATGTGTGTGTGTATGCATGCGCACATGTGTGTATGTGTACACGCGCACATGCGTGTGAGTGCATGCATACGTGCGTGGGTGTGTGTGGGTGTGTGCGTGCGCACGTGTGTGTGTGTGTGTGTGTATGCGCACGTGTGTATGTGTGTGTGTATGCACGCGCACATGTGTTTGTGTGTCTGTGCACGTGCGTATGTGTGTGTGTGTGCGTACGTCCGTGTGTCTGTGTATGTGCATGTATATGTGCGCGCACACGTGTATGTGTATGTGTGTGTGTGCGTCTGTGCGTGCACGCGCGCACGTGTGTGTGTGTGCGCGCGTGTGTGTGCATGCATGCATGCGTGGGTGTGGGTGTATGCGCACGTGTGTGTGTGTGTGTGTGTGAGCGAGCGTGTGCGCACGTGTGTGTATGTGTGTGCGTGTATGTGTGTGTGCGTGCGTGCGTGCGTGTGCTTGCGCGCACGAGCCCAGGGGCGCGTGTGTGTGCTTGTGTGTGTATGCGCAAGTGTGTGTGTATGCACGCGTGTGTGTTTGTATGTGCGCACGTGTGTGTGTTTGTGTGTGTGTGTATGCGCGTGTGCACACACGCGCGCGTGCCTTTGTGTGTGTTTGTATGCGCACAAGAATGCGTGTGTGTGTGTGTGTGTAAGCGCACATGTGTCTTTGTCTGTATGTATGTGTGTGCTCACGTGTGTGTGTCTGTGTGTCTGTGTGTATGTCTGAGAGAGAGAGAGAGAGAGAGTGTGTGCGCACGCGTGTGTGTGCGTATGTGTGTGTGTGTCTGTGTATGCATGTGTGGGTTTTTGTGCACGCGAGTATGTAGGTGCGTGAGTGCGTGTGTTTGTGTATGTGCGCACGTGAGTGTGCGCGCGCGAGTGAGCGGATGTGTGCGTGTGTGTGAATATGTGCACGCGTGTGTGTGTCCGCGTGTGTAGGTCTGTGTACGTGCGGCGTGTGTGTGTGTGTGTGTGTGTGTGTGTGTGTGTGTGTATGTGTGTGTGTGTGTTTACGCGCGCACACGCGTTTGTGTGTTTGTGCCCACGCGTGTGTTTGTGTGTGTGTGAGAGAGAGAGAGTGTGTGCATGCGCGGGTGTGTGTATGTGTGTGCATGTGTGTTTGTGTGTGTGTGTTTGTGTATGTGAGCATGCATGCGTGTTCGTGTGTGTGTGTGTGTGTGTGAGAGAGAGAGTGTGTGTGTGTGTGTGCGCGCGCGTGTATGTGTGTGTGTGCATTTGTGTGTGTACATGCACGCGCGTGTTTATGTGCGTGCGTGCATCTGTGTGTGCGTGTACGTGCCTGCGTGTGTGTGTGTGTGTGTGTGTGCATTTGTGTGTGTACATGCACGCGCGTGTTTATGTGTGTGCATGCATCTGTGTGTGCGTATACGTGCCTGCGTGTGCGTGTGTATGCATATGTACGGGCGCGCGTGTGCGCACTTGTGTGTGTGTGTGTGTGCGTGTGCGTACTGTGTGTGTTTGTGTATGTGAGAGAAGATGCGCATGCGCGCGCGTGTGTTTGTGTGTCTGTGTGTGTGCACGTGCGTGTTAATGTGCACGCGAGTGTGTGTGTGCATGTGTGTGTGTGTGTGTGCGTGGGAGCGTGCGTGCGTGAGTAGGTGTATGTGTGCGCACGTGTCTGCGTGTGCGTGTGTGTGTGTGTGTTTGCGTGTGTGTGTGCAAGCGTGCGTGCGCGCGTATGTGTGTGTGTCTGCGCACGTGCGTGTGTGTGTGTGTGTGTGTGTGTGCGTGCCCGCGTACCTGTTTGTGTGTGTGCACGAACGTGTGTGTGTGTGTGAACATGCGCACGTGCGTGTGTGTGTGTGTGTGTGAGTGCGTGCATACGTGCGTGGGTGTGGGTGTGTGTGCGCATGTGTGTGTGTGTGTGTGTATGTGCGCACGTGTGTGTGTGTGTGTGTTAGTGCAGGTGTGCGCGCGTGTGTATGTGTCTGCGCACGTGCGTATGTGTAAGTGCATGCCTGCCTGCGTGTGTGTTTGTATCTATATGTGCGTGCACACGTGTGTGTGTGTGTGTGTGTGTGTGTGTGTGTCTGTGAGTGCGTATGTGTGTGTGTGCGTGTGTGTGCATGCGCACGTGTGTGTATGTGTACACGCGCACGTGCGTGTGAGTGCGTGCATACGTGTGTTTGTGTGTGTGCACACGTGTGTTTGTCTTTGTGTGTGTATGTGCATGCGCACGTGTGTGTGTGTGTGTGTCTGTGTGTCTGTGTGTATGTCTGAGAGAGAGAGAGAGACAGTGTGTGCGCACGCGTGTGCATGCGTGTGTGCGCGCGTGTGTCTGTGTTTGCAGGCGTGTGTTTTTGTACACGCTAGTCAGTAAGAGCGTGTCTGCGTGCGCGCGTAAATGCGTGCGTGCGTGTGTTTGTGTATGTGTGCACGTGTGTGTGTGCGCTCGAGTGAGCGGACGTGTGCGTGTGTGTGTGCGTGTGTGTGTGTGCGTGTGTATGTATGTGCACGCGTGTGTGTTTCCGTGTGTGTAGGTGTGTGTACGTGCGGCGTGCGTGTGTGTGTGTGTGTGTGTGTGTGTGTGTGCGCGTGTGTGTGTGTGTATGCGTGTGTGTGTGTGTGTGTGCGTGTGTGTGTTTATGCGCGTTTGTGTGTTTGCGCCCGCGCACGTGTTTTTGTGTGTGTGAGAGAGAGAGAGAGTGCGCATGCGCGGATGTGTGTGTGTGCGTGTCCACGCGCGTTTGTATGTGCGTGTGTGCGTGTTTGTGTATGTGAGCG